ATAGTAATAGACTTGTAAAGTATTTGGAAAATGCGGGAAAAAAGAACTGGAAGGGCAATTGATCATTTTCTGCTATTAAATGTAACATAATATTTTTGTGTATTTTCTGTGTAAGTTTTGATTTTTCAGTGCTTCATCTTTGTGTGTTTCATTTTTCTTAACACAAAAGTGTTTCCCTAAAGCTATATGACAAGTACATTTTATTTATTGAAACCTGAGATAAATTTAAGTTCAACTATGCTGATTAGAAGAAACGGATTGAGTTGAGGATTGTAGTCAAGAACATGACTGTGTGGTACTGGGACTGTCTTCATGTATTTTATGTCTTCATATATTTTCAGCATATTTTTTAATCTACATCATAACTATTTTTTTAACTTTTATATCAGATCACTAATTTCACCTGAATTTCCATTTAACTTATTTTATAGAGCAGATTTGAAAAATTTTATATTGATATAAATTTTTATCTTTTTAAATTTTTATCTTTTTTAAATTACTGTTTTTTATGGTACGCTGTTACATTTTGTGAACAAGACAGTCTTGGTAATTTCTCTGAGGATACTAGTCAGAATTATTCAAAATTCTCTTTGTTCTTAGGAGAATGTCCTGTGTTCCTTTATAGTGAGATGTCAGTTTATTTTAGTACTTCTCTTTCATGTATGTTAAAGAGGAATCTTTTTTTTTTCTCTCTGTATTTAGGACAGGGTCTATAGGGTGTACAGGATCTCACTACGTAGATCAGACTCACAGTGATCCTCCTGTTTTCAGCCTCCCAAGTGCTGGGATCACAGATGTGTGCTACCATGCCTAGTCTCAATTGCCGTCTCAGCGTGCCCTGGGGGCAGGGCTAGCACGGCAAGTCGGGGATCGAACCCTGGCCACTGCGCTCTGCCTAAGCAGGCGCTTTAGTCCACTGAGCTATCAGGTCAGTCTCATTCATGTATGTTTTTCTCAAATATCAACTAAGTTTTCACTTGTTCCTTCATTCTTTAGATATTATTTGATTTACATCATCCATCTTCATTTTCCTTTTTTTGTCTGTTTTTGTTTTTGTTTTTTCCTTTTTGAGACAGGATCTTGCTATGGAGCTCAGGCTGGCCTTGAGCTCACTTTGTAGCCAGGCTGGCCTTGAACTCAAAGCGATCCTCCTGCCTCAGCCTCCTGAGTTCTGGGATTGCCAGTGTGCCACCATGTGTGGCTAATTTTTAGTCTTTAAATGATACCTTTTCCAATTTTTGCCACAGTTGTGGGTACTTCTTCTGGCTTGTTTTTTTGTTTTTGATTCAGTGTGATGTGGAGAAAAAAACACAGTTGTTATGCTCATTTGACCATCCTGGTTCCGAATTGTTCTGAAATCCTTCAGGCAGGTCCATCCTG